ATCTTGTCCTTTATAACCATTGTGATTTATGGGGATTGTGCAAAGAGAAATCTTAAACGTTATCTCTTCCAAGCAGTGGAGAGATTTGTTGTTTGGAAGATTGTAGAGGGCCATTATGGAGATGGAGCTCACAGGAAAGGGTAAAAAAGTTGTCATACGTTTATGGGCTTGGGTCAATCAGTCAGGCAATAAGCAGTTATTAAGAGCTTACTATGTAGCAGGCACTGTGCAAAGCAGTGAGAATGCAGATATGAGCATAAAGCAAGAGTCTCTACCTTTAAGGAACTTAAATTCTAATGGGAGAAGACAACATATAGAAAGAAGTAAAAAAGTTATATGTGGGAAATGAAAGTACCTGGCAACATGGTAAAAAAAGTTCAGAGTATAGCCTGGAGAGGAATGAGACAGTTGACCTGGGCTACTTCCTTCAATGAGATTCTGGGAGAAGCCACCCAATCAGAAAGAGAGGCTACAGGGGTGGAGTGTGCTTCCAAAGTGTGAATTCCAGGCTTAGAAAGAGTTTCCTAGATGAAGAGTTTCTGGGGCATGGTAAAGTCCAGAAGTCAGCCTGGAGAGGAATGGGTATGAATCCTTTGTGTTTTGAATTTTCTGTTGAGCAAAACAAAGCCTGCATTTAATATATTGATAGCTTAAGTGCAAGCCTTTTACCTTTTTTTGGGGGGGGGGGCTAGGCAATTGGGGTTAAGTGACTTAGCCAAGGTCATACACAGCTAGTGAGTATCATGTGTCTGAGATCGGATTTGAATTCAAGTCCTCCTGACTCCAGGGCTGGTGCTTTATCCACTGTACCACCTAGCTACCCCTGCTTTTACCTTTTTCTATAGACATGTAGAAGCAAGCTATATTCTGATGTTACCTGGGGGAGACCCTGGATGCCAAAGAGTGATTTGTGAGATGCTTTCAAGATTGGACTTAGCCTGTATAAAGTTCATTCTGATTTATAAAGTAAATCAATAAAGGATCTATTTAATGAGGAAGGAATAAAATAAAAAGTTACTCAACATGGTAATATACACTATGGAGCAAAGTAATATCTGGAAAATTTCTGGACAGTTACCTAAAGCTCAGTATTGGACTAGCATATGCATAAAAGAAAAATTTTTACCCATGTCTCAGCCAGAGATTGATTTACTCAGAAAATATTTGGAGGAAACCCTCATATTGATTTGTTTCTCAGAGGGTAGTTTTACTTGTATTTGAGAAGCTCTTCCCTCCATTCCCCCCTCCCCCTTGTTTAGTATGTGGAGAAGGGTTTGGGACATGAAGGAACCAGTAAGTGAAGATTCAGAGATAAGCATTTTCTTATTGCCTCAGTCTGATGTAATGTCTTCTTCACTGATATGATCTTTAGTATATGAATTAAAATAAAAGTTTAGGGTAAACATAAGTAGGAACTTGGAAGTCTTACTGGTTGGTTATAGGGAAAGTCTGGAGAATAGGATGATGTGTCCTCTTTAAGATTATGTAACTTAATATGATGTAGCTCCTGGATTTCCAGATGGCCAACGCAGCTAGGGGTGCTGTCTTACAGGTTGGTGGGTGGTGGTCCTGTGCTTTTATATCCTAAGGTTGACTTTTCATGCCTTTGTAATTTTTCGCCCAGGTAACATCAAAGTGCCTGCTTCATTAAAAGACTATTTTGTAAAAGTAATACCCAAATGACTGGGCTTAGTGGCACACATGCCTATAAGCCCCGCTATGGGGGAGGCTGACGCTGGTGGATTGCTTGAGTGTGCAAGTTCTGAGCTATAGCAGGACTAAAGCTACTCTGGTGTCTGCACTAAATCCAGATACTGGCCCAGATCAGACATGGAAAAGGTGAAAGCTGCCATGCATATCAACAGTGGGGTTGGGTCCATGAGTCGCTACTATACTTCTGAGCTGGTTGAGATAGGGTTATCCCGTCTCAAAAACAAAACAAAAAAACAACAAAAATCCCCAAATTTCAGCTGATACAGTGTGCAGCACCTTACCTTTGTAAAAAGTGATTATATACCATTGAAGACTTGCATTTTGTATCATAATAGTTTATGCAGAGCTTTAAATTTATTTGTATTATCTCATTTGATACTTACACCAGCCCTGTGAGGCAGGTGGCTCAGGATGAAGGTCTCTGGGCCTGGACTCAAGAAGGCCTAAGTTAAAAATCAGCCTCAGATGCTTACTAGCTGTGTGACCCTGGGCAAGTCACTTAACCTTTGTCTGTCTTAGTTTCCTTATCTGCAAAATGACAATAATAATAATTATATAATATTATATAATAATTATTATAATAATAATAATAAAAATAATAATAATCTTCTATTTCCCAGGGTTGTTGTGATGATAAAATAAAATATTTGTAGAATGCTTTGAAGAACTTACTTAAAGTGCTACATAAATGCTAGCTATTATTATTATTTTGATTATTGTTATTATCCCCATTTTATGGATAGAGAAACTGAGGTTCAAAGTGGATAAGAACTGGTAAAGCTGAGATTTGAACCTATGGCTTCTAACTCCAAGTTTGATACTCTTTTCATCTGTGCCACACTCTCCTGATTTCCCATTCACTTCTGAGCACAACTGAATTTTATTTAAATGAAGTTTAGTTTCCTATTTGTTCACATCTTTAAAAAAAAACTTGTGGCAACTAAGATTGGGGTTACTTAGCTTAGTTGTTTAGAATGTTGGCCTGTTGAGTCCATAGTCACTGGTTTGGTATCTCCTTCTTTATGAAGTCTGTTCCTATAGCATCATCCATAATAGGAATAACTGGATATAGCACATTATTGTTTGCAAAGTAGTCTGTATACAAATGCATCATGCCACTTGAGCTTAATTAAGAAGCCTGTGAAGTAGGTGCTGCAGGCATTATTACCACCTCCATTTTTACAGATGTGGAAACTGAGCCTCAGAGAACTAAAAGAGAGGTAAAAAGGGTAGAGGGGACTTCCAATGTGTGAATTCCAGGAGTGGAGTGAGGCCAGGATGAAGAAGTTTCTAGGGCATTAAATCCAGATTTCAGCCAAAGGAATAGGGTGTGAATGAATCCTTTGTGTTTCCTGTTGGGTAAAATAAAGCCTGTATTTAATATATTGATGGTCTAAATATGAGCCTTTTACCTTTTCTGTAGACACATGAGGCAAACTATATTCTGATGTTACCTGGGGGAGGCCCTGGGTAGGTGTACATGTCAAAGAGTGATTTGTGAAATGCTTCTAAGATTGAACCTAGCCTTTATAACCCAGAGATTTGGTTCTGAGTTATAGGTTAAATCATGAAGGATCCATTAATGAGGAAGAAATAAAAAAACTGTGTTACCCAACATGGTAACACACACTATAGAGCAATGTAGCACCTGGGAAATTTCAGGGCAATACCTAAAGCTCAGTACTAGAGTAGCATATGCATAATAGAAAAATCCTTACCTGTGCCTCAGCCATGCCCGTGTTCACACAGCTGGTATTAGATGAACCATTTGAACTCAGAGAATTTCAACTCTATGTCCCATGCTCTATCCACTCCTCTGCTTCATAAAATGAGTCCTCCTTCCTCTGAACCCAGATGGCTTCTTGGTTGTATCTCTTAGGTACTTCACATAATCTGTTTTTTGCTATAGGGATTTGTGTACCTGTCTTTCCTCCTCTATTAGATAGTAAGTTACTTGAAGATAGGAACTATATCTTAAGTATTATAGTACCCTCTTCAGTGCCTTGCAGAAAGCAGGCACCTAATAAATGTCTGTCTTATGAATGAATGACTTATGAATGAGTGAATGAATGAATGAATGCCATGGACCACTTCACTTTGCATAGAAAAGAGCTCTGTTCCATATCCCTAGCCAACTGCCTCCTACATGTGAGCTATTAACTACAGTAGGGCATGGGAAAGAGAGCACAGAAGGACATGTTTTGCTGCATGGTAGGCCAGTAGTATTATCTCTTTAATATATACATTGTAATTTCAGGGCAAAGGCTGAATTTAGCAATCCTATCCTTTTCCTCCAGTAGGGGAAATCTAATCCAGTAGAGCTGTAGACCATTTATGTGCCTGGCTGACATAGGCCCTTAATAAATGTTTATTGATTGATTGACCGCTGATACATAGCTTTGTCTTTTTTGGATCTAGTTTACCCTTAGGGAAGAGAACTGTATTTGCTACTTGGAGTGGATCCATGTTGTCTGTGTTATTAGAAGGTTTCTTTTAGATTGCCTTTCTTTTTTTTTTTTTTTAAGCTGCATATAAATATTTGGAGACCTTGGAAGGCATGAACTGTGCATTTCAGGAATTGAAAAATTACATTAAAGAAGTAAACAGAGGTCTAAACAGCCATTATATCAATGAGTTTTGGAACAGAGTTGTTTCCACATTCAGGAAAAGTAGCATTTGATGTCTCCTTTGTTAAGGGAAGCTTTTGCCAGATTGAAGTCATGCATGAAGGACAATTACAGAACAGAAATGAACCATATCATGTGTGTTTGATCTACCGAATCAGTTTGTAGTGATAAAGTTTTATTTTATTTTGAAAACAATGGAGTCCCTGTCACTCCTTGAGAATTACAATTTAACTAATAGCTCCCAACTTTCTGGACTACTATTGGCAAAGGAACTCTTTTCTTGTGAAAGACTCTCATTTTTGCTATAAGGCCTAACCATTTTCAAATGCCATTTGAAGAAAAAAAGGATTTGGTTTCCTTCCCCACCTGACCCCTTCCTATCCCTTCCCTTTTTTCCATTTTCGCTAGCCAAGCACTATATTGGAAAATTAACGGAAATTATGGTCATCTAATAGGGCTCCCCCAAGACATCCCAGGCTTATCTTTGGGCCAGCAGCCATCTAGATGATCCAGTTTTAGGAACCTTCATGTCTGAGTCAGTCTGGTCTGTTTTGAAATTTCAAACTATGCTACCAGAGAAGTGGGAACTAGTGATAGACTTTTAAAAAGATTGAAAAATACACCTCAGAAATGAACTTGGATTTTCTGCCTCCTCCATAGGGGACCTCTCACTCACTCAGCATCGTACAATGAGTCTTGGAGGTTTTAGGGACTCTCTTCATTCCATCTTCCTCTTCATTTTTTGGTCCATCCATCATCTTCATCTGAGATATTTGGGTAAGTCATGCAAATTAGCCTTTGGCTTTCTCAAGAAAACAACAAAGTGGAGAAGGGACAAAAATAATGGTTGTTCCCATTTCAGGCGCTTAGGGAGGGGAAGAACTGGTGATTGCTTCTTGTGACATTTAAGGTGGGCAGGGTGACCTTACCACAATGTGAATATTCATGTCTCTGATCTATAATATAGATTCTGTATGATTAAAAAATGTTTTATTAGGTCAGATTAAATATCCACTCAGTATTTTGTCACTGATAGTGGTACCAGGAGTGGTGTAATAGAGAACTGGCCAATGAGAACCCAGTCTTCGGGGCATGCATAGTATGGGTTGTTTGATACGGTCCCACAGTAGGTATCTGATAGGTCTGTTTTCCAGCGTGCATAAAGGAGGGCCTTGTTATCCATGTCAGAGCATATATGCAGGGAAGCAGACTTATCAAATATCTGCTGGAGGGATTACAGTTCAGCTGTAGGGACTGAGTTCAAATCCTGTTGCTGCCCCTCACTTCCTGCATGGCTTTGGCAAGTCAGTCTACCTCCTTGAACCTCAGTTTCCTCATTTTTTATTAAAAGGTGGGGGTTGAAACAGATGGCCTCTGAGGTCTATTCCAGCTCTCTAGATAATCCTAAATCTCTAAAGCATCCTTATGTACAAAATCCCTTCATCTTTTGAAATATTAGTTTATCTTCCCTTGGCACTTTTTTTTGTGAGGCAATTGGGGTTAAGTGACTTGCCAGGGTCACACAGCTAGTGAGTGTTATGTGTCTGAGGCTGGATTTGAACTCAGGTCCTCCTGAATCCAAGGCTGGAGCTCTATCCATTGCCCCACCTACCTGCCCTGTTACAGGGTCTTTCACAGGGTGTTGTAATCTGAATGGCATAGGGTGTTATAGACACAGACTTAAAATGATTCTGTAAAAAAAAGGCACATCTTCTGTTGGCTTCCTGTCCTCTTCCTGGTGGTCCCTAGCATCTTTGCTAGCCTTTCTGGCTGCTGCTGTGCATCTGTGACTTGTAATAACAGAAACCAAGATCTCTTCAGTTATAGAGGATAGCGCAGAATCTGTCAGCTCTTAAGAGCTTTTTAGACACCAGCTTCACAGTAGCCTCCCCTATTCAAGGAAAGACTATCCTTTTTGAAGTTTTCTACATGGAAAGTTGAAGGCATTAGAAGACAGCTTCACCAGGAATTTAATCACCATTATAGAATGTAGTAAGTGTTTGCTCTTGCATCAAGTTATGTTTTCCAGTATTTTTTTATTTTCATTTTTGAAATAACGGTGATATTTTATTATTTCTTTTCTGATTATTGAGATTCCAATACTCCAATCTCATTGATGTGGTGATTTCACAGGGCAGTGGAAAAACCACTAAATCTGGAGTTGGGAGATCTGGTCTGACTCTGCTGCTTACTAGATGGGCAAGTCAAAGTAACCTTTTCTGGGTCTCAGTTTCCTTCTTTGTAAAATGAAGGAGTTTGGCTAGAGTTCCTCTAAGACTCCTTCTAGACCTAAATCTATGATTCTATGATCTCCCAACTAATGCAGATTGTAACCCTTTCATGTCTACACATCCTGTGTGACTTGTATCTTTCCATAGGTTCACCACAGTGAACATGGGGGCCTTCTTTGCATCTTCTTCACATCAGGAGGGATACCCAAGATAATTTTTTCATTGTCAGATGATCTGTATTGGATGAAAAAGTAACCACAAAGTACCTGGTGTATAATGGAAGGCAAAGCTTTCTTGGCAATATTCACAGGTTGTTTTAACCCAACCGAATGAAATCTACCAAGGATACCCTGTCATCTTGTTTTGATGTGAGGTGTAAATACGTAGGACTAACTGACTATAAAGTTAGACTCATTTTGTACCTATTCTCTAAGGATTTCTTTTGGAAATCTCCTTTATTTTTGGCCCTTTCAAGAAGATTACAAACTGCAGTTGTGTATATGGCCATGTTGTCCATTTGATATGGAAGAAAACATTTCAGTCTATCTTTTAATAACAATACAGAGGCAGGCTCAGATACTTACTAGCTATGGGACCCTGGGCAAGTCATTTAATGTGTTTACCTCAGTTTCCTCATCTGTAAAGTGGGAATAATAATAGCACTTGCCTCCTGGGGTGTTGTGAGGATAAAATGAAATAATATTTATAAAGTACTTTGTAAACATTGAAGCATTATATAAATACTAGCTATTATTATTGTTATTCTTACAAAGGACAACAGGATGTCTATTGTTGTACATGATAAAATAATTTTGTTGTATTTGGCAGTATTGTAAATTCTGTTAACTCCCCAATATGATGTAATTAATTGTACCCATGACAATACGTGTAGAATCTGGCAACCTTGGAATATTGAATCTTGCCCATCACCTTCCTTTGTGGGGAGAAGTAGCGTGCCATGTGGAACTCTCATATTTAAAAAGCTTTGCTCTGCCTCCCTATGCTGTGAGTACTTGACATCCACAGCAACCAAAAACTAAATTTGATTTTATAGAAAAAGAGGCTTTCCTGTGACTTCCATGGCCAGGTTGGCCAGACCCAGACACTGGGATATTTAAGCAAATCTCCAAACTCTTAGCTGTAATATGTACCTCTCCAGATTGCCACATTGTGCAACATCACAGATCTTCCACTGTATTTCAGTTAACTTGGAACTAGTATCAAAATGTCTTATGTTGTAAATTTTCTTTTTTGCCATGGGGAGGGACAAGGGCAGGGATTAGCTGTCTTTGTTTTTTTTTTTTTTTTTTCCTTTCCAGAAAGCTGCCAAAATCATTTTGACTCCCTCAGATGAAGTAAGTCTTCTAACTGTGGTTCTCCTGAGGTTCCTTTGGAAGAAGACAGAGCAATTCTGAGAAACCAGCAGTGGGAGATGCCAAGAAGCTCCGTTTCCTTGGCACTACAGCTCCAGTTTCATTGCATTAGGGTCAGCAATGGAATAAAACCACAGATTGTGAGGAATTGGAGAGGGCTGTTGAAACAGTTGTCCTCATTTACCTAAAAGCCTCCCAGCTCCAGACAGCATTACTGATCCAAATTACTGATTGTAATCCTAATCCACAAGAACTGTTCTGGTGATTGGTGCAGGAATTTGGCTTCTCTTTTTTGTTTCCTCTGTGGAAGCTGCTGTGCCCCTCACTGAGAGGGTTGAGAGGAATCATGCTCTTTAACTTCCCTGGGCCTCAGTTTCCTGTCTGTAACAGAAAACTGTTAATATAATGAGAGAAATTGTTAATTTCAAATGCAATATAGATCGCCACTCCCTTAAATGATCTTCGTAGTGTCAATATTTCAGTAATGCCCTTGCATTCCTACTCTTAAACTATTTACTCTTGATTAGGTTGAGCTGAACCACACCTTAATTCCCCCACCCTGAGATTTTACTTTCTAAAGGAACCTAGTTTGGTTTGGATCTCAGCTCTTGATGTCCTTGCCCCTTTGCATTGGGATTCATGGCATGAAGGGCAAGACAGCCAGTATGGAGTGGTTTTCCTTGCCCAGATTGCCAAGGGCCACTGGAGTCTCATGACCAGGCTTTGCTACCTCACCTACCTCCTCTAACTGCCCCCTCTTACTACCTCACCTACCTCCTTCCCCTCTCCTCCTAAAACTATAAAAAAACCTTTTTTACAGGTCTCTTTGGATTGGAAATTCACTAGATATCCTCCAGGGTGGAAGGTCTGCTAACCTGTTATCTCCATTAAAGACGCTTTATTCCTCAACTCGTGGCTTCGGTTTATTTTAGGACTTGATGTGTGTAAAATGAAAGGGTTGGACCGGAGGGCCGCTGAAGTTCCTTCCGACTCTAGAGCTTGGCCCTGGGATTGTCTGTACTTGTTTAAGCTGAAAAGAGCTTGGATGGTCATCCCTATTTATAATACACTAGGACTCAACTGTCTTGTTGGTCTGTAGGTTCTGTGGTACCCAGTGACCTGGTGATCCCCAGGCTGGAAACTGTCACTCTTCATTCTTAGGTTTCCTAGTGGACCCTGTGTTGCAGGATAAGGGATTTGAAAACTTAATGATGGTTTGAACAGAGCCGGCTGATGTAGTTTTGGAGTGCTGGGCAGAGAGCACTCCTAGAATCATAGACTCAGAGCTGAAAGGAGACTCTAGAAGGCATCTAGTCCAGCCTCTTCATTTTACAGATGGGAAACTACAGTCAGGAGGGTTGAGTGACTTGCCACACAGTTAGTACTGGGAATTAAACCCAGTGTCTTGACTTTTCATCTAGTATTTTTTGCCTTGTACAAAAGACCTCCCCATTTTTTGAGGGGTGAGGAAAGATGGATCTGAGAATCAGAATTTTAGAGGTAGAAAGGATGATCCAGAAGGATCCTCAGCCTGAGTATTAGGGGGACTGAATCTTGCTAGTGATAGGGCAAAAGTTAATGTGACACCCCCCCACCCCCACACCTTCACACCTACCCCCACCCCCTCTAGTCATTAAACAAAACACCATTAGGAAGGATTAAACTACAGGTAAAATAGCCAATAGGAGCTCACTTTGTTTTCAAAGGGGCATTCGCTGATAGTGCTGCTTTATCTCATTGGTGTCTGTAATTCACAGACCGCCTGACATCTCTTTGCCCTGCTTATGGAGCCACATCCTCTGCAGAGAAGGGCTCTGGCTCCTCGAAGGACATATACCTTTTGTATTCACCCATCTCTTCCTTTAACTGCTTAAACAGACTACCATCTGGGGCTCAGAAAACAGATGTTTTTGGGTATGCAGTGATCCCTAGATTAATAAAGTCCATGAGAACAAAGTTCCTTTGTGATGAAATTGACAATTTAAAAAAATCAGCCTGGCAAGAAGCATGAGTGTTTGCATCATAGGACTCAGTGAAAAGATTCTTACTAAACTAGGCCGATTTGTGGCTATTCAAAATGAAAATTGGCCACACACACTTGAACATAAGCTGGTACCATTCATGGCAAAATTGTGAGAATAGCAATATCCATCTCTGTTGTTCCTAGACACCCTTTTCTGTGCCCTTGTCCATCCAGTCTCACTTACCTTGTGTTCTGCTCTCCAGTTAAGCCCTTTTCCACTTACCAAAACAAGAAGAGAGATGTCATTAGCCATTTCCATTTGTTGACTGACTCTACTTGCTTGGGGATGAGTTTTTGTCAATATGTCACCTCAAGATATTTTCATTTTAACACTAATTAAGGAAGGAATGACTTTATTCTCTCTAAAAAGAATTTCAGGTGTTAAGCTGACAGGAAAAATTGATTCTTTTTAATCACTGCTTCCCTTTCTAGGTGCCCACCAATTATGTCTTTAATTATCCATTCTAGCATTTTCCCAATAATTGATGCCAAGGTCATTGGTCTATAGCTTTCAGATTCTTTTCTCAACCTTATTGACTTCTTTAAGGATGACAGATCATGAAGAAAGCCAGAAAGGATAGTGGCTTTCTCTCCTAAGGCAATCTTCTGCGTAGTTGGGGTGGACTAGTAGAGACTGGACCGAGTTTGGCTTCTAGGGATAGAGAAACATGTATCCTTTCATCGCTTGTTTCTTCCACAATGTGTCTTTTCCTAAGGTAGGTTTTTATGGTTGGCTCTACTTCTCTAGATCCAGGGGTTCTTTACTTTTTTATGTCTTGGACTCTTTTGGCAGTCTGATGAAATCTATGGACCCCTTTTCAGGATGTTTATAAATGCCTTAAATAAAATACATACTTATAGAAAGGAAATCAATTATACTGAAATACAGTTATCAAAAATATTTTTAAAAGCACTAATCAGTGGATCCCCTGAAATCTATCCATGGACCCATTGGGAGTTCAGAGCTTCCCTAGAGATCCTCCTGCCATCTCTTTTTTTCTTTCTTATCTGAACACAGATCTGGGCCCCTCCCCTAAACTCAACCACTTCCTTTATCCCTAAACTTCCACTTGTATAGCCCTGAAAGCTCTGGGCTCACATGGATCAGATTCAACTTTGGGAGGTGGCCCAGAAAGATCATATTTTTTTGGTCTTGTATGCCGCCAATCAGAGTTTACTCTGGGAAGTCTCCAATATGTTCATACCTAGGCTTCCATAAGTGTGGGTAACAAGGTCCTCAGCTCCTGTACAAACTACAAGAGAGATGCCACAAGATTGAATAAGGGTTAATATTGTCCTGAGCATAAAAAAGAGGAAGAGAATGGAATCTAAAGGCTATAGAACAATGATCTTGGCTTCAATTATTGGGAAAATTCTAGAATGGATAATTAAAGAAATAATTGGTGGCTACCTAGAAAGGGAAGCAATGATTAAAAAGAATCGGCATAGCTAAATCAAGAATAGGTCATGCCAGATTTATCTCATTTTCTTTTTTTATAAGATTACTAGACTAGCTGATGAGGGACTTGCCATGGACATTGTTTTTATCAGGATTTATCTAATATTTTGCTGAAGTTTCTCATACTGTTCTTGTGGAGAAGATGCAGAAATATGAACTAGACAGTAAGACAATTAGTAGATTTAGAATTTGTTGGGTGACTGGAGAGTAGGCATGATTGGTTTAGTATCAACATGGAAGGAGTACCCCAGGGAGTACTTAACCATAAGAGTCCCCTAGGCATCTGTGGTTGGCCCTATGTTGTTTAAAACGTTATCAATGATTTGGATAAAGGCATAGGTGGGATACCCATATGGTTTACCAATGACACAAAACTAGAAGGGATAGATAACACACTGGATGACAGAGTCAAGATCCAAAAGAATATTGATAAGGTAGAGCATTGGGCTGGATCTAATGTGATAAAATTTAGAAAGGATAAATATAAGGTCTTATATAGGATCATAAATCAACTTTACAAGTACAAAATGAAGGAGATATGGTTAGGTAGCAGTTGTTCCAGCTAGGATCCTCACCCGAGGGTTGGGTACTAACTTGGTAGTGTTTTGTTTTTGATCACAGCTCATGGAACTCATGAAATGATCTACTGCATAAAAAGATGGGAATTTACATCAATGGAGAAAAGACCTACACCAACAAAACCATAGCATGAAATTATAATACCTAATATTTTATAGCACTTACTGTGTACCAGGCATTGTGCTGTGCTTTAGAGTTATTATCTCATTTGATCCTCACAACAACCTTGAGAAGTAGGTGCTATTATTATCCCCATTTTACAGATGAGGAATCTGAGGCAAATAGAGGTTAAGTGACTTGCCCAGGATCACACAGCTAGTGAGGTCATATTTGAACTCGGGTCTTCCTGACTCCAGGCTCAGCACACTGCATTGCCTTTGCAAGCCTGGATTAGAATGTGGCCCAACAAAATGATTGCTTGGGGTAAAGAAGCTACTCCTTTCTCAGATCTAGTATGTAGCTCCTAGCAAGCCCAGAATCTACCTTCTAGCTTCCAGCTAGTAACAAAGGACATTACTGACCTACACTGAATTTTTATTTACTGAGAGATCCTTTACCTCAAACTGATCATGAAGAACCTTGTTCCAGAAGACCATGGTAGTTGGTTTCTTCTCACAAGATGGTAAATTTTATAGCATACAGTATGTCAGTCCACTGTGTGAACTCCCTGTGTGGGAAATGAAACCACAAATGCAGGGCAGACCAGGTGGCCAATACTGCCTTCTGAAAAATCACACCTATAGATGCAGATCATCGTAGCCAAGCTCAGTAGCCTGTCAGACCTGTAGGTGAAAGATTTATGGATGTGTATTATGTAGAGTACAGATTTTAGATAGCTAAATAAAGTATTTACATTGACTATGTGCCAGGTACTGTGTCAAGTGTTAGGGATACAAATACAAGTAAAGAAGGACAGACTCCGTTCTTCAAAGAGTTTATATTTTAAAGGGGGAAGTTAACATCTAGAGGAGAGATAAAGGGATAGAGGTGGAGATAGTCAGGGAGTGGTGTGGACCTTAATTCAAGATGAGTCAAAAGCTCATCTATCAGACCCTGGTTTCCCAAGTACTGAGTTCAAGTTTCCTTTGGAGGGAGATAAGAATGATGGCCAGAGTAAAGGTATGGTGATAGGAAATCCCTAAAGAGGGAGAAAATATATTTATATTTTACTGGAATTTGAACTATAATCACATCCTAGGCATTTCAAAGTCAGTATGTCCAAAACAAAACTCATTACCTTTTCCCCCCAAACCTTTCTCCATTTTGAACTTCTCTATTATTGTCAAGGGTATTGCCATCCAGGTTCATAACCTTGGAGTGATCCTTGACTCTTCATTAGCTCTCACCACTCATATCTAGTCATTTACCAAGGCATGTTGAATCTACATCTTGTGTCTGTCTCCACCCTACATGCAGAATTATAGATTTAGATTCATAGAAGACTGTAGGAGCCACTTAGTATAACACCATCTTTTTAAAGATAAGGAAACTGAGCCCCAAAGAGCTTTAGTGACTTGCCACTAAAAATGGGTGAAGACTTAGAAGCCAGGTCATCTATGTCCAAGGCTAGTACTCTCTTTACTACCATCCTGCCTTTCGTGCAGGATCTATAGCAATAGCCTCCAAATTTGTGTCCTTGCCTCATGTTTCTGTCCTCTCTGATCCATTTTTCACACTGATATTTCTAAGGCACAGGTCTGACCACACAATCCCCATTCAATAAATTCCAGTGTCTTCCTCTTAGCTCCAGGATCAGATACAGATGCTGTTGTTGGAGATTTAAAGCCCTTCACAACCTGGATCTGAGCTGCCTTTCCAGGTTAT